TACCTTTTGAGGTACGGGATAAGGATGTTCCAACAGCCCGCAGGTACTGTCCCAGATCTGACAGCGTGAGCCCGTCCATGCGCAACGTCTACGTCAGCGATGGCTCCAACACCATCGTCAAGGCTCTGGTCAATACTTGCTGTTGGTTAGTAGGGAATGAGGGAATGAGGTAACCTATGCAATCCCTTAAAGTGTATATATACGGGGATATAGGGTACCTCATTCCCTCCTTCCCTACTAACCAACAGTACGAATAACGGGCCCGAAGCACCTGGACGAAGGAGCAGTAACGCTGAGACACCTTCTTCGGACCATATCGGCGTTCCATCGGCAGCCTTTCCATAGTACTGCCGGGCCTGCGCAAGTATCCTAGCTAGCAAGGTTTATGCTGGTGCCCAATGGCTGTTTGCTAGGTGGGTTCAGTGCGACAGGACCGTGACCAAGTGCCTGTCCTGTGAGGCATACTCCGCGTGTGTGCAGAACGAGACCTTGACGTCGCAGTGCGTGCCTCGACAGAAGAATCGAGCCCACCCCTAAAACCTTAAATCGCCAAGGGCCTAAGCCCTAAACTTCTAAATCCTACGAGTGCTCCGCAAGAGGGGCCATGGTTTGCTGGCGAAGACTCATACATCCAGGAACGGATCCTTTCTCGAGAACGTCAACCTACAGAGGCTCCTCAACATCCCTGAACCTTGAGATCCACATCTTTAGGGTTTAGGGTTTAGGGTTTAGGGTTTTGCCCGTGAATGCTTCAAGGACGCCCCGAACTTTCGGTCAGCCGACTCGGAGTACACGGGCAACAACACGGCGACCAACCAGGCGCATTCGGGGCTTCAGGGTCCAGGCGTAGGGTTTAGGGTTTAGGGTTTAGGGTTTGGGGTTTAGGGTTTAGGGCTTAGGGCTTAGGGTTTAGGGTTTAGGGTTTTGGGAATGGAGAGTGCTGAAGAGGGCTTGGAGGCAGTGTGGTTCAGGAGCTGAGCCTCCCCCCTGTGATTTTGCGGGTCCGGCCGGCATCTCCGGCCCCGAACCCTAAGTTTTCAAAAACTCAATCCTGAAGCTCTACAAGCGGCGCTCTATAGGGCCTAGGCCCTAAAAACCCAGAAGGCTAAGGCCCTGAACCTTGACGCCTGGCTCGGAGCCAGGCAGTCTGGATCGGCACGTTCTGGCTGTCGCCCGGAAACACCGGCCCGGATGAGGCGGCGTTGAGGGCCAAACCGTGGGAGTTCTGGGGGCTTTGGGGTTCTCTGCAAAGCTTGGGGGGGAAGCAGTTCTTTTTGGGTTTAGGTTCTTACCCTTTAAGGGTCTGGAGAGTCCAGGGTTGAACCAAGAACCCTAAATCTCACAAGAAGCAACCGGCTCTGAACACTGCGGTCATCGTCATAGACTTCAAAGTGCGAAGCAGAAGCGACCCCTGAACCTTTACTGCACAGCTTTCTCTAAGTCATGGTGCCACTTTTGGGCTCCTCTTATGATACTGAACCTCAACTTCTGGTGCCCAAAAAACGGACCACGCTAGCCGCATGGGTATTCAGGGCCTGAAGCCCAGGCCAGTAGGCCCAAGTCCGCGAAGCGCCCGCCCGCTCCGAGGCCACAAGTGCCTTGGTCCCGACGATGTACACGGCCCTTCTGCTGCACTGAGAGCGCAGCGGGCACTTAGACCCTAAACCCTAGATCCAAACCCGAAACCCTAAACCCGAAACCCTAAACCCTCACCCTCGACCCTAAACCCAAGGTCCTAAACCCCTAGATCCTAAACCCTAGATCCTAAAACCTTAGGCCCGAATCCACGGCATCTTATTGCGGGGTCAGGCTCTCTGTGCCAACAAGAGCTTAAAATGGCATCAGCTGAAGTAGCACAGGGGCCTAAATCATTAGCAACTTTATTCTCCAGGATCCCTACAATCTGTTTACAACGGCAACCGCCCACAAGAGCATTCTAAGTCTAGTTGAAATAAGAAGTTCAAATTCGCATTCTTCTGATCTGAAAGGCCCCTATATTGTGCCACACGAGTATGTCCCGGGCAGTTGTTGCTTCGAACCGCACTCTGTGAAAAACAGGTTTGCTTGATAGCCCTCTGCGTGCTCATCGTCATGGCGTACAGCAGCCAGGCAGGACGACTGTTGAGGGGGTTCAGAAGCCTCAGGGGCTTTAACGCGAGGGCTGGGGGTTACCAGGGTTGAGGGATTTGGGTTCGGGGTTCGAAGGTTCCAAGTGCCTGAAGTTCCCAGAAAGCTCTGGCCGCTGCGGTTTCTTGAGTGCCTTAACCCTAAACTCCTAAAGCCTGAACCCCATCTTTTGGACCCTACACCCTCAGCCCTAAACTTCCCTAAACCCTTAAACCCTAAACCTTAAACCCTAAGCTTTAAGCCCCAAAACCCCAAAGCCCCCCAAGTGTCACCAAAAGCGTGGCAGGTGTTGACCGACTACAAGGTTGATGCTGGCAGGGCACTTGATAGGGGACATGTCGGGTTTAGGGTTTGGGGTTTAGGGTTTTAGCAGGGGATTTTGTCCAGGAAGGGTTTAGTGAGGGTTCGGTAAGGGTTGAGTGAGGGTTTGGTAAGGGTTTAGTAAGGGTTTGGTAAGGGTTTAGCAAGGGCTTGGTAAGGGTTTGGAAAGGGTTAGGTAAGGATTTAGTAAGAATGTAGTAAGGGTTTAGCCAGGGTTTAGTAAGGGTTTAGGAAGCCCCAAACCCTAAACCCCTAAACCCTTAAGCCGACTACACCCTATACCCCTCCAACGGTTTAGGGTTCAGATTTGGAGATTCAGTTCCTCGTGGCTGTGGGATTTTGGGGCTTCACGCTTTCGTTTTTGGGGCTTGACCCTTTCCTTGGGGGGGGGGGGGGGGGGGGGGGGGGGGGGGGGGTGTGGGGGCTTGGAAAATTTTTTTTCAGTCTTGCTGATGAAGACTCCAGTACTCCTGCATCGAAGGTGTTTGTCTTTGTCTGCCGGACCCAGGCACGATCTCCCCGAACGACTTCGCCATCATGGTGAAGGCCCCCGCCTCGGGGTGTGGTTTAGGGTTTAGGGTTTAGGGTTTAGGATGAAGGGTTTAGGGTTCAGGGTTTAGGGTTTAGGGTGCTTCTTTTGGGCCTGGGCTTTTGGGTTTCTAGAGTTCTGGGGCGTGACTCCTAAACACATTCAGGGGCTGATGTTGGGTGTTCGTTTGTTTCTACCCTAAGCCCTAAACCCTAACCCTGAACCCTAAAGCGTAAACCCTAAACCCTAAACCTTAAACCCTAAACCCTAAACCCTAATCCCTAGTCCCTGATCCCTAATCCCTAATCCCTAAACGTGGGGGACCAGCCAGGGGCTTCCATCGACCGCGACGGAGGAGGACAGCTTCGAAGATGATGGATTCGGGGGAATGGCTCTGGGAGACTCTTCTGGCAGGGTTTAGGGTTTAGGGTTTAGGGTTTAGGGTTTAGGGTTTAGGGTTTAGGGTTTAGGGTTTAGGGTTTAGGGTTTAGGGTTTAGGGTTTAGGGTTTAGGGTTTAGGGCCCTGAACCCAAAACCAAAAACCCAGAACCCTGAACCCTGAACCCGAAACTTGAACCCTCAACCCCCAGTCCTAAACCCTAAGCCCTATACCCTAAGCCCCAAGTGCAATGAATTCAGCCTACGCCCTGTCCTGCGGCGGCTGTCGAAGTTGAGTCGTTTACGTATTGGTTGGTAGCAGGGAAACTCAAAGCCGGGGATGTAAGTAAGGTATCTAACTCCCTATTTTCCTACTACGAAACGCTAAGTTTCGACTCGCAGGACGCAATCAGTGAGTTCTTCAAGGAGCACGCTGTCAAGGGCAAAACCGATACGGAAATCGTGAAGGCCATGGGTTTAGGGTTTAGGTTTTAGGGTTTAGGGTTTAGGGTTTAGGGGATCTGGATGTGATATCAAGTGCCCCATGCATCTGACAATCTGACTGTAGATGATGGCCTTAGCCGTGACAAGAGCTGAGCTTTGTGAGGTCGTCATCGGTTGGGACATTGAAGAGTTCCGGGCGAATATCACGAAACTGAAGGCCGGGTCCTCCCAGTGTGTGTGTGTGTGTGTGTGTGTGTGTGTGTGTGTGTGTGTGTGTGTGTGTGTGTGTGTGTGTGTGTGTGTGTGTGTGTGTGTGTGTGTGTGGTGTGTGTGTGTGTGTGTGTGTGTGTGTGTGTGTGTGTGTGTGTGTGTGTGTGTGTGTGTGTGTGTGTGTGTGTGTGTGTGTGTGTGTGTTTTTTCTTTTTCTATAAATATGGTTTTTGTAGGGTTTTTACAGGGTCTATAGGGAAGTAGGGTCTATTGAGGGTCTATAATGGGGTGTTGCAGGGCCGAGCTTCAGTTCGGGCATAGGCCCAACAAAAGGGGTGAGGCCCGACGCTCCAAACCCGGACGCCAACAGCCTTCAGGCTTAGAGTCTAGGGTCTAGGGTCTAGGGTTTAGGGTCTAGGGTTTAGGGTTTAGGGGTTAGGGTTGAGGGTTGAGGGTTGAGGGTTGAGGGCTTAGGGTTTAGTATTCAGGTTTAGGGTTGGTACTTGTCTTGGAACGGTCGGCTGCCACACAGCTCGCCGTTTCACCGAGAATTCGTCACCTGGACAGCCTTCTCCCTCTGAGCTAATCATGGCATACTGCGTATATATAATACTTTCCGAAAATAGGCGACAGAGTCTGATGCAGCGCCTCTTTCCGCAATTGATGGGAGCCGGTTGGCGGCCGGGGGAGAGCGGCGGGGGGCAACAGAGAAAAGAAGGCTTTGGCATGTAGGGGTATACAGTTCGAAGAACTTGGGGGCAGTTTTCACTACCATGTCACAGCCCATGCTGTAGAACTTGTGTCAGACCCATGAATCGCCATGCATACAGGCCCTACTTGAAGGTTCATGGGTAGCTATAAGTAGGGTTATAAGTAAGGTAACCTATATTATAACCTCAGTGAAGGTACTTATACCCATACTTCATCACTACCCATAAACCTCCAAGTACCAGCACACAATCTGCAAGCCCAGACAGGCCTTGTCAGCGCAATGCAGGCACCGTCAGCTCGCGATCTTGATACCAGGGAGTATACGCTCACCAAGCCGCAAGACCTCATTGATTTCCTGGTTGACGCCAATGTACGCCTGGTGCGTTTTGAGTACCTGAGGATGCTGGCCCGGACCAAGCAACTTTGCCCACGGCGCCAGGAAGCTGAACTGGAGGAATTCCAGGACGACAGGGGGAATGTTTGCACTGCGTTGGCGACGCTTGAGGAGCTGAAGGAGTTGAAATATTATCCATGTCTGGAGACTGGCGACAAATCCGTTCGCGCCTCTTTCTCGTTGTTCCTTGGCAATACAGCGCCGAAGCCAGTTCTCATCGTTTCTGTTTCGCACTGCTGGGAATCTCAGCAACATGCTGACCCATGGGGTTTCCAACTGTGGTGCTTGGCTGAACGCATGGAGCGGCGGATAGCAGGATTAACTGCACTGAAGACTTGCCAGGTTTGGGTATTTGTGGACTGGATCTGCTTGCCGCAGTACAAGCGCACACACTCAGAGCAGCAGTTCTTTCATCACGCCATGACGTCGATGCATGTGCTCTATGCACATGCAGATCTTGCTTGGGTGGAGCGCCTCACTGATCTCACGCCGGATACCTGCATGCAACGAGCGCCCAGCTCTGTCGCCATCTATTGCGAAGCAAGCGGGGCGTTGGAGACGCGACCGTCTAGCGAGTTACTCCGAAACAGCACTCAGTACTGTCGGCGAGGCTGGTGCGTGGCAGAAACACAGTGGATCAGCACCAGAGCGCACATTACAGGAGTGGCACCAATCAGTCCGGCAACCTTTCAGGACCGAGTGAAAAGAGGCGAGCAGGATGCTGCAGATGGCTTGGCGCTGCAGTTCACGCATCGTTCTGATGCAGCAGCTGTGATGCGACTGCAGGAGAAGGTGTTTCTGCAGCAGGCGAGTGCGCGAACATCACTGGTGGCAGATGCACTGCCAGTGCAGGAAGTCCTGGATTTGGCAGAGTCTGTATCCTATTTCAAGTCTTTGAAGCAGTTGTCTTTGGCAGACAGCCAAGTTGGGGCCGAAGGTGCTACGGCATTGGCCCAAGGTCTCCAAGGCAAAAACCTGTACACGTTGATCTTGGACTATTGTGAGATTGGCGACCTGGGTGCCATGGCCTTGGCAGACTTGCTCCCACAGTGCAGCTTGCTGATGAACGTGTCGCTGCGCGGAAACAACATCGGAGATGCTGGCGCAGCGGAGCTCGGACCAGCACTCCGCGCGTCGGACGCGGATGATATGCTCGAGGTTGTGGACCTGAGCTGCAACCGTTTGTCAGATGAAGGAGGCTGGGCTTTCTTACAGATGCTAAATTCGAGCGACTGGCAATTGTTCGGGGTCAGGCAACGGGCCTTTCACCGAAGCCTGAGCGGCTCACGCGACAGCTGCAGGTTTATCAAATTCGGACAGCACTGTAGCGCAAGCAGCAACAGTATCTTGGAGCTGCTGTCCTTTTGGAGACATCTATCCTGCTGCGCCGAAAGACAATGCGCCTAAAAGAACGTGTGATTCTCTCTGTTTCATTGAAGGGACAAGGCTTCCTTCTCTTCTCACCATCATGGGATATTTCAACGGCATGTGCAAGGCCGGCAAATTGTTCGAGGGCAGTGTGCCTATAACTTTCTGAACTAGCACCTGAACATTGACATTTATGCGCAGCATGTAGGATTGTAGGGGTGCAGGTCTAGGGCTAGGCATGGCTGTGGGCACCTTTCAACGTCCCCAAGGCCCCAAAACCCTAGACCCTAAATCCCAAGCAATGGCTTGGAGGTGTTGATTGGATCCTAGCTACTGCAAATACAGTATGCAGCATAATCCCTGTTGCCAGGATCTACCCCCCCCCCCCCCCCCTAACAGGTATCCTCGTCTTGGGAAACCCTAAGCCCTAAACGCTAAACCCTAAACCCTAAACCCTGAGCATAGGACACTTTTGAGCGGTGGGCCAGGAGTTGAAACAGAAGTTGGACGCGCTGGACAGCGCCGACCCCGAGGCTCTTTCCTGCGGTTGTAGGGGGGGGTTTCGGGCTTAATTTTTGGGACTTTTCTTTGTTATAGTCGGGTAACATTTTACATTTTAAAGGGTACTTAAACCCAATAAGGAATAAGCAATTAAATTTTTAATATTATCCCCACAATGAACTAGTTTAGGGCGTAGGGTTTAGGATCTAGGGTTTAGGGTTTGGGCGGGCCTACAGGTTGTTTGCAGGGGGGTTTTGAGGTTTGGTCAGGGTACGGAGTGAGTTTGTTCTTGCTTTTTAGCTTTCGGTTTTTGGCGGTTTGAGGGTTTTTTTTGGGTTGAATTGGTCGGCTTTTGCGGGTTTCGGCCCTGCTTGAAGGTTCATGGGTGGCGATAAAATAGGGTGATAAGTTATAAGCACCTAAATTTTGGTTCGAGTGTAGGTTCCCTTAACTTGTAATCCTACCCATGAACCTTTTACCTTACTTGTAACCCTAACCATGAGCCTTTGGCTTCATGGTTTAGTGGTTCAGGGGTTTAAGGGTTTAGGGTTTAGGGTTCAGGGTTTCGGGTTTAGGGTTTTGGGGATTTGGGGATTTGGGGTCGAAATTTGGGGGAGCTCATGCCGTGGAGGCATATTCGAGGCCTTAGCCCTCTCTCCCAAGCCCCGAAAAAGCAGAGGGTTAGGGGTTTGGGGTTTAGGGCTTAGGGTTTAGGTTTAGGGTCTAGGGTTTAGGGTTTAGGGTCTAGGCTTCCTTCGAAGCCCCTCCCCTTGCACTACAATGTAGGGGTCAGAGTAATTCCTAGTCCTATTCCCTTATGGTCGCTCTTTGGTTGTACTATATTAACCCCCAAAGCCCTATTCTCATTATGAAGGCCTATATATCAGTCCCCTCCATCAAAATGGCCCTTCAGAGCATGCCGCGAAGTCTTCACAGGGGGTTTTTGCAAGATTTGCCCGAAAGTGTTTGAAGCCTGCTTTTACGAGGCACTCCCATGTCCCCTAGCAAATCTCCCTGGCAGGTGAAAAACATCAAGGCGGGTGGCTGCTCTGTTGTACCGACACTGTGGCGTAGGGCCTAACTTTTCGGGCCAGGTGATCCCGAGAGCATCCCGAGAACCTAAGAGCCCAAAGCCCCAGACCAACCCTCGCACTGCACAAACTCTACACCCTATACATCCGTATACACCCTAAACCCCACCCTACACCCTTTCCGTGCAAAGGCAGAGATGGTCCAAATCACCACGGCTTTGAAGTCCGCTGGCACGAAGGACAGAGCTCCATAGGGGTTCTTGGGTTTAGGGTCTCGTTCAGGGTTTAGGGTTTAACACTCAACCCTCAACCCTCAACCCTCAACCCTCAACCCTCAACCCTCAACCCTCAACCCTCAACCCTCAACCCTCAACCCTCAACCCTCAACCCTTAACCCTAAACCCTAAACCCAGGGCTCTGGGGTCTCGGGTCTCTTGGGTTTTGGGGCTCAGCCCGAAGCCTTGGAGCTTTGAAAGCGGCAGCCCTGCGGCCCGAAGCTGAAAAGCCGAAGGCGCCATGGGGTTTGGAGCTTTCAGGGTTTAGTTTATAGGGTTTAGGGTTTAGGGTTTAGGGTTTAGGGTTTAGGGTTTAGGGTTTAGGGTTTAGGGTTTAGGGTGATGGCGCTAGGCTTTCTTACAGTCTGGGGGTTTGGGGAGTAGGGGTTACGGGGGTTTAGGGTTTGAACCCTCAATCCCAAAACTTAAGCCCTAAACCGCGGATTGGGGTGCAGGGAAGCCCAAGACCCAAGTTCTTGGGGGGGGTGGCAGGGATCTGTGGGGTCCAAGCGGCTTTGCTTTGGGTCGGCTTAGGGTTTCAGGGTTTAGGGTTTCAACCCGAAACCCTAAACCCTAAACCCTAAACCCTAAACCCTAAACCCTAAACCCTAAACCCTAAACCCTAAACCCTAAACCCTAAACCCTAAACCCTAAACCCCAACTTTCGAGCCACCCCTGGAAGCGCTTGGAGGACGCCAAGCTCCGCTCCTCTGGGGTGGTCGTCGCCGCTTGGGCTTGGGTCGCGTTGGCATTGCCCTATTCTGGGTTTAGGGCATTGGGTTTGGGGGTTTAGGGGTTTGGGGGGGTTTTAGGGTTTAGGGGTTTAGGGTTTAGGGTTTAGGGATTAGGGTTAGGATTTATGGTCTAGGGGTTTAGGGTTTAGGTTTAGGGGTTAGGGGTTAGGGGTTCGTAGGGGGTTTAGGGCTAGGAGGATAAAAAGCTGGATTTGGGGTATACACATATACATTATATAGTTCAATTTTTGAAATGCCCACGTACGGGTTGAGGGTTCGTGGTTTACGTGTCAGGGGTTTAGGGTTCAAGGGTTAGGGTTAAGGGTGTTTTTCCTGGTTCAGCTGCTGCTGGAATCTGCTAGAATGCGCTAGAGCCCTTGCCCTACGACACAGTAGATTCGGGCTTCTTTGGTGGACCTTTCATAGTTCAGGGTTGCAGTTTTTGGTACAAAGGCCTAAGCCACACAAACACCCTACACCCTAAATCTGGGGTGTGGGGTTTGGGTTCGGGAATACGGGATGTGAGGGTGTGGAGTTTACCCCAGGAATTAGGGAGGGTTTAGGGTTTAGGCATGAGGGGAAGACTCTTCGTGGCTTGTGGGGTGCGTTTAGCCCAGGTGGTTTTCCGACACCAGAGCGACATGCGAGCGTGCCTGAAGAAGCCTGGCGGGCATGTTTAGCGCCATTGCTCAGAGGCCACAGCGCCTTCAACCCTGACATACCCGAACCCCTACACCCAAATTAAACCCTTACCCCCATACCCTAGAACCCTAAAACTCGAAAACCTGCAAGCCCTAAAGCAAAACCCCGAAACCCCTGCCGACCAAAAAAGCTCTTCATGAGCAGCCCTGTCCCTGCCTTTAATCCTCAAGCCGCAAGCAGCCCGAAGCAACGCCCCTGGAGTCTCTGAATCCCTATATGGGGATTTCAGATTTTTATATTAGGGGGCACCTTATTGGTGGTCCTTAATTATAAGGAAATCCTGTTATTTGGGGTCTATATTGGGGGTCCCTCATGTTCGTAAACCCCCGTATAGGCTCTTAACCCCCCCCAAAATTCCAAAAGGCTTTATGGGGTTTTAGGGTTTGGTGGTTTAGGGTTTAGTAGCTGGGGAAGTAGAACCCCAAACCCTAAACCCTGGGCCTAGGCCCCATCCCGAAAACCCTCAACCGCAAGCACACCGACGTCAGGCCTTTTCATATCACACTGCCCTAAACCCCCGAAGTCCGAGGCAAACCCTGTAAACCCAAAACCTGAAACCGATGGCAGGTGGACGTCCTTCTGGGCCCGCTGGTTCCAGTGCGAGGCCGATGATGTCAGCTTCCTGTGGAGGACGGGGTCGGATGCTCCACCAAAGCCATAGTCAAATTTCTTGATGCCTGTCGCCCAATTCGCGTGCAGGAGCAACGGCATCTGCAAGGCACGCACTGCACAAACCCACGGTTGTAGACAGCCAGTGCTTAGAAATAGGGAACATTCCCAGCCTGAAGACCTAAAACCCTGAAAAAACCTAAAACCGTGGAGCCCAAAGAACCCTAAAACCCTAAGCCACACAGTTGGGGATGCCCTTGTGATTGCCATCAGCACCCCTTGAGCCAGAGCTGGCCAGGGCCTGTGTAGGGCTTTCAGGGTTCAGGGTGTAGGGTTTAGGGTTTTAGGGTTCAGGGTCTAGGGTTTGGGGTTTAGGGTTGAGGATTTCTGGGTTTAGGGTTTAGGGTTTCGGGTTTTAGGGTGTTTAGGGTTTGGGTTTTGCTTGAAGGTTCATGGGTACTGTCGTCTTTTAAGTAGGCTTAGAAGTACCTCAATGAAGGTCATAGTGTGGGTTACCTTCTTCTCATCCTATTCAGCTGCCCACGAACCTTCAAGTACGGTGAAAAATCATGACGACTTGAGTACGACTTGCTGCTAGCAGCTTCGAGCACCCCAATGCAAAGCCAAATAACCAATGGACCAATCACATTATGTAGCGGGCCCGAGAAAAAAAGGATGTAAACAACCCAACATACCCATTTGAGTTCAACAGGCCCCGAAGCCCTATGCCCTAGATCCTAGCTAAATAGGCCCCTATATCTGCCCCTCCAGTACCCGAAACCCTAAACCCTAAACCCTAAGCCCTAAGCCCTAAACCCTAAACCCTTCGAGATGGTCAGGGTGCAGCGCTCCCCAAGTTTCCCATCGGCGGGCGGCCGCACCTTCGCAGCATCGGGTGTAGAAGCAGGAATCAAGGGTTTAGGGTTTAGGGTTTGGGGTTTAGGGTTTAGGGTTTGGGGTTTAGGGTATTCTTGGGTTTAGGGTATTGGTGTACTCCACGGTTTGGGGTATAGGGTGCAGAGTATTTAGGGTTTGGGGTTTAGGGTTTAGGGTATCAGGGTAGTGTAGGGTGTAGGGTACTAGGGTATCTATTCTACGGTTTAGGGTATTGGGGTATTGTAGGGCTGGGCCCTAAGCTTGTTTTGTGGGCTGTGGGCATATCAGGAAGCTTAGGGTGGTCGCTGTAATTCCTAATCGGCAACCCCCGCATCGAACAAGTTAAGCAAGCTTTGGCCCCTTAGTACGAAACCCTGAAGATACTTCGAAGCCAGGGCGCTACCCGTGTGTCGAACGCCTGCGGGTCCACGTGAAGGTTCATGGGTAGTTATAAGCAGGGTTAAAGGTACCGTAGCTAAGGTTATACTGTAGGTTGCCTTACATATAACCCTACTTAGAACCACCAACCCTTCAAGCAGGGCTGTAGGATGGTTGAGTCGTAGTCCTTCAGCATGAGGCTCGCGCCACTTTCAGTTGTGCCTGGCCTGCACTGGCCCTTGCCGATGGTCCCCCTAAACCCTAAACCCGAAACCCTACTCCCTAAACCCTAAACCCTGAACCCTAAACCCTCTTCATCCAGCCCTTGCAGCAGGGCCTTGTACTTAGATACATGCAGGCCGACCTCATGGTCATACGAGCCTGAAGCCTCAACCCCATTCACTTCTTTTAGGGAAAGGACGCCCCTTATAAACCCAATCAAACAACAAGCGGGCACCCTCTGAGTTACGGGGGCAACGTAGAACTAATGGTAGGTCTCATGATTTGCGAGGGTTGGTCGGGGTTTAGGGGGTACAGGGTTTATAGGGTTTTTTAGGGTTTATAGGATTTAGGGGGTGCATGGGATGTAGGGCTGCTGCAGTATCTAAGCGAGGGGACCCGATTAAAAGTGCAATGGCCTGGCAAACCGGAAAAGCCGGGCAAGGGCAGAAATGGCCGAGCATGAAGCTATGCAGTTGAAGATGTGGTAGTTCTGGAATACTGCAATGTTAAGAATCATAATGATAGTAATAACATTATTATTAGTCATAATCTCAGAAAGAATGGTTGTGATTTCGGGGGCGTTCCTAGGTCCCAGGAGCCCTCTCCCGAGGCTCGCGCCGCGAACCCCGGCGACATCCATTGGGCCGAGCTTGCCGTGCCTCCGGATCAGCGGCGATACAGGCGCCGGATGCCGGCTTCGGTTGCAAGAGGTTTGGGTTTGTGGGTGATAGGAGCTGGGGAGTTTAGGGGTTTAGTATCTGCGACCCTAAGCCCTGAGCCCCAAATCCTCGACGCCCCAAACCCTAAACTCCTGAAAGCTGTCAAGCTCTCCAGAAGTCCGAGGCCGGGCTGAGACCACAACCCCTCACTTAGACCTCATAGGATCCCTACCCTCCCTCTGCCCTCCCCTCCCCTGAGGGTTGGCCCCCTCCTTCATGGAGGCCAGTTTCGAAGACCTCGGAAGAAGCCCGAGAAGCCCCAGACCCCAATAAACTCTGAGCCCCCAAAGCTAAAAAGAAGCCAAAGAGCCGGAAAAAGGCTCCTTGCCACCAACGGTGTCATGTTTCTCTTGGTCGCCGCGTGCTTCGGCGCGGTCTACGGCCTGCGCAAGGCGGGTTCTTTTGCGAGGGAAGAGGAGCAACCGGTTTTGGGATCTTTAACCCTAAGACCTTAAGGAGAGGTTTGGGGGTTTGTAGGGTCCGGGTTTAAGGGTTGTTTAGGGGGGTTTGGGTCTTTAGGGGTTTCAGGGTTTGTGGCTAGGTTCACTCTGCCGTCGCCACAGCAGTCGTTCTCTTGGTAGCCCAGTGGTGCCCTTTAACCCCCCTTTTTTTGGTTATGGGTTCCCTTATGGAGTAGCCAACCCCCAAAAAAGGGTGCCCTCATTGCAATATGGTCACCGGGCGGCCAAGTTCCTGTGACAGGCGAGCGAGTCGATCAAGGGGGACGGCGGCGACGGCCTCGGCGCATGGAGCTCGCGAGTTGCTCTAGCTTACCTGAACCACCCAAAAGCCCTAAACTTCAAAACTCCCAGCAATCCTAAAGTCCCATCTAGAAGCATCCTAGACCATCCTGAACCTAAGGCGAGATATTTTTTTGAAGTCGAACCTTCCAGGACTTTCAGACAGGGGCAGGGGTTGAGGGGTAGGGTTTGGGGGTTGAGGGGTTGAGAGGTTTAAGTGGTTTGGGGTTTTTGGTGTTTGAGGGGTTGAATGGTGTGTTGAGGGATCAGGGAGCCCAGGGTTGGTTTGGCGACAGGTGCCGGACTGTGGCTGTCAATGCTGCCAGCCTTCGTGGTTGCCGACGCTTGCCTGCAGCAGAACTGATTCTGTTGTGGGGTTTAGGGTTTAGGGTTTAGGGTTTAGGGTTTAGGGTCTAGGGTTTAGGGTTTGGGGTTTAGGGTTTAGGGTTTAGGGCAGAAGCAGTTGTGAGTTCGTCGTTGTCCTGTGAAAGTCCGCTGTGGCAACAGCACCTGATCCGAGTGCACTTTCTTTCCACTGAACCCCTAAGCGACCTCGAGTCTTCTCTTACCCCCTAAACTCAGACCCTACACCCCAAACCCTAAACCCTAAACCCTAAACCCTAAACCCTAAACCCTAAACCCTAAACCCTACACCCTGAACCCTAAACCCTAAACCCTAAACCCTAAACCCTGAACCCTACACCCGAAACCCTGTTTGCATTGAGATCGTCAACGGCTTGCTGATGGCCGCTGCCCGGTATTTGGGAGACAAGGCGGGGTGGGTGGTGAGGCTGATCCTGGGGAATCCTTCTTGTACTTGAAGGGTCATGTGGTAAGGCAGCCTATATTATAACTTTAGTTAAGGTACTTTGAACCCTACGCATAGCTAGCCATGAACCTTCAAGTAGGGTCCGGAGGCTTCAGGTTTGGGCTCAGTGGGGGAGTGCATCGCGAGTTGCGACGTTGGACTCCAGGGACATCGATCGACTTTCGAAGTACCTCAGGTTTGGAGGGTTTAGGGTTTAGGATTTAGGGTTTAGAAGCTTCACCGAAGTTTCAGCTTGGAAGGAAGACCCCCCCCCAACCCGAAATCCGAGGAATCTTAAGCCACCGCAAGTAAGAAGACCCTTCGTCTTGCCAGGAGTACCACGACACACTCACAGAGCAAGAGTTCTCGCAAGCTGCGAAGATGTCGGTCGGTATGCCCCTGGCCTGGGTGAGAACATCGGTGCTGGGTTTGGGGTTTGGGGTTCGGGGTTCAGGGTTTAGGGTTTAGAGTTTAGGGTTTAGGGGCCCATTCGACAGTTTGCTTGTAGGTAGCTATCTTGGGGTGTAGTCGTATCACACATTTCAAGCTCCGGACCCTACAGGGCCCTAAACCCCCTAAACCCTAAACCTTAAACCCTAAACCCTGAACTCCGGCAGCCGAAGCACCTAGGGTTTTCTTGGTTGCAGGGTTTGGGCTTTGAAGAAGCCCTCGACGTGCATCTCAGAAGCAGCCTTGCGTGCCCAGGGTGGTGAACACGGCGGGCGTCCTCTACTTCATGTACTCACAGCCGAAAGAGTGGTACCAGGATGGAGGCGAAGCCCAAGAACCTGAACCCGAAGCCCGAAGCCCGAAACCCTGACTTGAATGTCAGCGTCAGGGCTTGGGGGTTAAGTCAAGGGGCAGTGTATGTGCACATACACGCACACGCGCACGCACACGCACACACACGTGTATGCGACAGCAACTCTTCCAGTTGATGCTGCAGTCGTGTCTCCGGTTGATGGCGACCCGGTGCAACGAAGCTATGCCATGAGCGACATGGATGAGTCGAAAGCTGATCTGTACTTGCCATGGCATCATAACGTTTTGTACGCTGCTTCGCCATGGCACGCTGGCAGGCAAGTACTGTTGTTTGTTCGACGACGATTGCTGTCACGGCAATTGAGACCGAAACAATCTCTGCACGGTCCGTGCCCAAACCCCAGCGATGATAATGGCGATGATGACACTTCTGAATTTTGCCCTCTCTTCTTCTTCCGCTTCTCAAGACATCGGGTCAGATCGTGCCACTGCGCCAGAATCAAACAAAGCTACCACATGCCCGCAAGACGAATGATGTGATGTCTTCATACTGCGTATGGTGCCATGCTCGCTGTTGTCATGTAAAGTACTCAGTGTTGGAATATGCCCCACGCAACTACGGTTGAGGGGAATCCGGCCATCTCCATGTCTTTGTGCGGAAGTGATGTAATCATGCCTGTCGTCCATTTCCCATTTTGCGCAATGAATGGTTGCTGTCGTTGTGAAGATGCACCAGACTAGGCTGCATGGATGCCCATTTTGAACATTCATCTTCGAGCCTGTCTCGGTCCCTTACTATGTATACATATGTACAGGCATCTATCTTTCTCTCGTTTGTGGAACATCACGTCACTGAGTTGAAGTGGCAACATGTATGTACTCGTACGTATGTATGCACGTCTGTGTATGCATGTGTGTGTGCGTGTCCTAAACCCTCAGCATAGAATAAGCTAGCTAGGTGCCCTAAACCCTCAGCATAGAATAAGCTAGCTAGGTGCCCAGAAGAATATGAAGAGGCCTGGTCAACGGAGCCTTCACCCTAAACCCTAAACCCTAAACCCAAAACCCTAAACCCTAAATCTGATGAGGCCTGGTCAACGGAGCCTTTACCATGCTGTTGATCAACGCCATCGTGCCCCCCCTGGTCCCGTACATGGACCTGGGCCGGGAGCTTAGGGTCTAGGGTTTTAGGGTTTAGGGTTTAAGGGTTTAGTGTGTAGAGGCGTCTAAGCTCCCTCAGCGGGAGTTGAGATCAATTCTGGGCGTTTTCTTTACAAGCGGATCATGTTTTTCTTTTTTTCCATGTTTAGTAGTGGATCTCCTTATCGTTTGCGGTCTTACCGTTTGGGGTGGTCAATGTTTTTGGATCAACCCCCAAAGGCCTGAATGAGAAGCCTTTCTACACCTTAAATTAAACCCTACGAATCCCAAAGCTGTAAAATCCTCAACCCCAAAACCCTGCCCACCCCCCCCCCTTGTAAACCTTAAACCCTACAAATCCCAAATTGTAAAATCTTCAACCCCTAAAGCCTGCAACCCTTAAAATCCTGAACCCTGTTAACCTTAAACCCTAAACCGCAAACCCTGTAAGGCCCAAGACCCTACACAACCGTGAAACCCTGAACCCTGAGCCCTGAACCCTGAACCCAAAACCCTAAACCCTAAACCCTAAACCCTAAACCCTAAACCCTAAACCCTAAACCCTCACAGCCTCCCTGAGTGCCTGAAGCCTCAGCTCTGCAGTGGGCTGAGGCTATAAGATGCGCGGCATGAAGCGCGGGCAGCTCACTGAGGAGCCGCGGACCTCGATGAGGGCTGAGGGTTTCAGGGTTTAGGGTTTAGGGTTCAGGGTTTAGGGTTCCAGGCTTTAGGGTTTAGGGTTCAGGGTTCAGGGTTTGGCGTTTCAGGGTTGAGGGTTCCGGGTTTAGGGTTCCGGGTTTAGGGTTCAGGGTTTAGGGTTTAAGACTTAGCGTCTAGGGTTCGACTTGCTACGTGCCGGTTGCGAGGGTGATGGTCCAGAGTTCAGGGCTCACGCTTGCTTGGGATGGAGGGCACGTCCTGTTTCAAGGGTAACCTGGTGTTGGCAAGCCGAGCTTCGGTTTTTTTGCAAGATGAAGGGCTTAGAAGAGCAATCGAAATCATGTGCGTGGCCATGCAAATGCGCAGGACAAGCTGGAGTACATGAATCAAGTGCTCATGCGGCTCGGCATGCCCCTGTTAATGCATACAAAACAGCAGCTGTTTATATACAGGGGTCACCTGCACGTGCCGTGGGACGACATTGTATGAACGCCTTCTTTTCTAGGTGCTGCACTGTACAGGGGACCCCCCAAAAGTGATCCTAGGATTTCGGGTTTGGGGAATTTAACGGGCCCTGGTCTGGTGATATGGGAGCCAGAATCCACGAGTGATCCTTGTTTAGCCCTAAACCCTAAACTTATCCCTCCCCAAACCCCGAGAGGTTTAGAAGCAACAAACACAGTGCTCATAGTGTGTTTTATTCCAGGACGCTTGTGAAGACCCAAGGTTTAGGGTTCAGGGTTTAGGGTTTAGGGCTACTATCCGCCCTTGTGGAGGTGGGATCTTGGGTTTAGGGCTCAGGGGAACGCGTGTAGAGGTGGGAATCTTCGGTTTAGGGCTCAGAAAAACGGGTGCCTCCGTCCAGGCGTGGGCCAAATCCCAAGGATCCGGAGCAGATGAAGGCGAGCTGTCCTTTCTTTTCTTATCATTTTTCTTGTTTTTTTTGGTTTTAGGGTTTATGTTTTAGGGTTTAGTATAGGGTTACGGGTGTTTAGGGTTTAAGAGTTTAGGGTTTAGGAATTTAGGGCTCAGGGGCCTGCGCTCTAAGCCAAGAATCCCTTAAAATCCTCGTAAGCCCAAGGGCTTGGGCCAATCAACCCAAGACTTACCGGGCAGCTGAATTTGAGAACCTTACGGCTATCCATGACCCTAAACCCTAAACCCTAAACCCTAAACCCTAAACCCTAAACCCTAAACCCTAAACCCTAAACCTTAAACCCTAAACCCTATACAATAAACCGCTAAACCCTAAACCCTAAAGACAAGGCCAATGCCCCGGACCTGTCAGGAGCTGAAAGAAGTCAAGATGCAGATCGAGATCTTCAAGAAGGCCTTTGAGTAGGGATGGCCCGTGGGATATTTTCTTTTTTAGGGTTTAGGGTTTAGGGTTTACGGTTTAGGGTTTAGGGTTTAAGAGGACTATATTCAGGAAAAAACCCGGGGCTTAAGGGCAGGGATGGCCCCCTTAAAGGCTCACGGGAAGTTATAAGTAGGGCTACAAGTACCTTAGTTAAGCGTGCAGTATAGGCTACCTTCCTTATAACCGTAGTTATAGCGGTTTAGGGTTTCGGGTTTAGGGTTGAGGGTTTAGAGTTTAGGGTTTAGGGTTTAGGGTACCCGTGATCCTTGAAGTTGGCTCTGAGTCGAGCTTGGGTTTAGGGAGGACCTTGCGTGCTCTCCGTCCGGTGTAAGGACTTAGAGACGGCCTTATCCGAATGAGTCGGGTTTCAGGGGTTTCGAGTTCAGGGGTTAGGGGTTTATGGGTTTAGGGTTAAGGGTTTGGTGTCTAGGGTTTAGGACAAACCCTGAGACCCTAAACCCCTAAAACGAAAACGCCCTGAACCCTAAACCCTGATCAAGCCCCAGAAACCCCTAAGGCCCTTAAGCCCTGAACCCTCAATGCCGAAACCCTTTCCCAACCCCTAAACCTGAAACCCCCAACCCTAAATCTCCTAAACCCCCTAAACCCTAAACCCGAAACCCTAAACCCTAAACCCTAAACCCTAAACCCTAAACTAGCAGAAGTCGTCTTGCCCGCACCTCTGAGTCGAGTGAGCTCTGCAAGCCGCGAGTCTCCACTCCCCCCTAACCCCCAAACCCGAAAGCCAGGGGTGTATGGGAGTTTCGACGGGTTTCGGGTTTGGGGTTTCAAGAGTTGTATAAGGGCTGTTTTTTTTGTTGTTTTTGGAGGGGGGGGGGGGGGTTATGGCTTTGGGGGGTTTTAGGGGTTGAGGGTTCTGCTGCTGCTGATGATGCTGATGATGCTGATGAGCTGGCCCCTTAGACCCTCGACTCCCTAAACCTCAGAGCCCACGCCGAACCCCCCGCCAGACCCGGTGGGTGTAGGGCTGCTTAAAGGGGTGAGGGCAGGTTTGGGATCCACTTTCGGATCTAGGGTTGGGGGGTTTACGAAAATTAAGGGACCCCTAATATAGACCCCCAAATAGTAGGCATCTCGGAAACCCCCGGTTTAGGGTTGCCCTTCTTGACGTGCTGAAGGTTTCGCGGTACGTGTGTAACTTGTGCCTCTTAGCCCTCTCCTAGGTAGGCCCTTGGGATATTTTATATTTTCTCTTATTGGGTTGAAGAGGACCATGTTTAGGAATATTTTTCAGAGGGTTTGAAGGGCCATCCTAGTCTCTTTCTGCCACCACAGCCTTTGGCGCAGGCCTGGGCTCCTTCGGCGATGAACGCCACCAGGCGTGATGTCAAAGACACTGGCAATAAAGAGGGTTTAGGGTTTAGGGTTTAGGGTTTAGGGTTTAGGGTAAGACAGTGTTTCGAGCACTCGCAAAGAGAAGCTCTGCCTGAAATCTTGAGGTTCCTCTTCCTTGTCCGGGCCGTTGATGGCTTTTTCACTCATGTCAAAAGCGCACATTACAGGCGGCTTGAGGTTTAGGATTTGGGGCTTTGTAGGGGGTCCCGAATCGCGGGGCTGAGAATGAACAACCCTCAACCCGAAACCCTAAGCCTTAAACCCTAAACCCCGAACCACGCTCCTTGCGCAGGAGATATGCCAATGCCTTGAAGACCTTCTTGTGCTGTCTGCCAAGCCCTCAGCGCGTCCCCCTTGAGGGGGGGACCTGAAGCCCCGGAACCCCGATTTAGGGGTAGAGTTCAATTCTGAGAGGCTTCCTTTTCAGTCCAATTTCCAAGCCTTAGTTAAGACCTGTGCCGAACTTGAACGGCTGCCAGGCTCTACTCGCCCGTCTTGCCCTTGATTTCCCTGGTGGGCATGGTTGGCTTGTGCTAGGCGCTCAGATGGGTATTTCCCAAAATAGGGGTACCCCTTTTAGATCTCAAGCAGAATAGGATCAACCCCCAGAATCGCCGAAGAACGGGGCGAGCTTTTCTGGGGGAAGCCTTGGCAGTTCGGACCCCTCGAAGTGCTGAGGCATGCAGTACTGGGTGGACAAGTACCTCCTCCTGACCTGGTACTGCAGGTGGGCGCAAGTGCTCAAAGGGGTTTTACTGCAGAAGTTCACGTTTTGACTGCGAGGATAAATTTGCTAGCTGTTCCGAAAGGCCGGTCAAGCCTTTGAGTGCCGACATTGCCAACTTCTTCGTGAGGTCGGATGGGGGGGAATGTCAGTTCAGGGCCAGCGATGCTTCACTAGGACGCCCAGTAGTGCCCTTACTCCCTTTTGTGGGCCTTGGGGCCAAAAAGGGCACTCTTTTTCACCATTGGTTGGGACGAGAGGTCATGCTTGGACAGCCCTAGACCCTAAACCCTAAACCCTAAACAAAACCCCAAACCCCAAACCCTATAAACCCTCAGGTATTGTTTGCTGAGTATTTCCGCCCGCCGTTGCTTTCCTCTTGCAGCGGAAATCGTCAATCACTCCCTGAGACCCATAGACCCATAGACGCATAGACCCTAGACCCTAGACCCCAGACCCTAAACCCTAAACCCTCAACCCTAAACCCTAGACCCTAAATCCTTCTAAGCATCCTGAATGCTCTAAAAACCCCTTAACAGGCTCATGTTCAGGGTTTAGGGTTTAGGGGTACTTGCCTTACCGGGTTCTTGCTTTAAGAAACTCCAAAGAATGAGCTATACAGCTATAGACCATATGAGGCTTCCGGAGCTAACAGTACAGTAGCTCTAGTATGGACATTAAGGAGCTTAATTCAAGCACCTTAAGCATGTCAGCACCCAGTTTCGCAGGCGTCGACTCTGAAAGGGGAGTTGCCCATGCGGGCGCTTGGGATGTTCTCCCTTCTACTAACAATCCTTAATGGGGATCATGGTACCCCCTATGATGGTCCCAATTAAGGACTGAACCCTAAAGCCTAAACCCTAAACCCTAAATCCAAAACCCTAAGCCCTAAACCCTAAACCCTAAATCCAAAACCCTAAGCCCTAAACCCTAAACCCTAAACCCGAAAGCCTAAACCCTAAACCCTAAACCCTAAGCCCTAAGCCCCAAGCCCGAAACCCTAAACCCTAAACATCCCCAGCGGGCGCGCAGGTTCGTGAAATGGGTTGGGCCCATCTTCTACTCGGTGTCCTTCTTCATCTTTGTCACGCCGTCGTACGCTGACAAGGCAGCGGCTTTCAGGGTGTCGCATCTAAGGTGTAGGGTTTAAGGTTTAATAAGGGTTTTGGGAAATGCGAAATGGCAGTTCAAGCAGAGAAGCATCCAAGCACGCCCTGTAAAAGCTAATATCGGGGCATGATAATTAGAAAAGGTTGTGGCGGCTATTGTCGTATATTTACGAAGGGACCAGACGGGAATGTTGTTGGAAATCATTCCGACCCCTCTATTAGATAAGATTTCATGTCAAGAGCCCCTAGTCTCTAACGCAGCGAAGCACGGCACCACGCCAAAAATCCGAAAGCCTTCAAAATCCCACCAAGCCACACGAGCCGGGAAAGTGACTAGCTGCTATCTGCCATTTCTGGGTGGTTGCTCGTAAGTGGATGTACATGTGACTATCCAGTTACTGGTCGACTCTGCGCAGCTGGCAGAGTGTAACCAACTCTGAACCCCACAACCCAAAACCTTCCTCGCTCTGAATCCTTAAACCCGAGACCAAAAGCATCCCTCAACCATAAACCCTACAATATGGGTTACTTCCCTAAATTATGGCGGTTACGATTATAAGGCGGCCCCTGATATATCTAGGGTACCCCGAAAAGGGACCATGATTTTTGAGAACTCACCATATATAAACCGAAACATCCCGGAGCCCTCGACCCTGCGCGCCCGTGTCAGAATCTCGTCGCCGCCTCAGAGCCGCAATCTCTCTTCCTCCGGATCTCCGCGGGAGCGCCGGCCGTTTTCTCACCCCCACCTCCCCTGAGTTTTCGGGGTTGCTTCGGAGTGTGGGTGGGGTTTGTGTGTCATGTGTTGTTCGTTTTGTGCTTAGTTCGGAGTTGTGGGCCGGCTTTTCCGAAGTCTTGGGAGCCTGGGAGCCTGGAGCTTTCATGGTTTTGGGATCTTAAGCAGATCGCTTCGGGCATAGAGGTTGAGGAGTTGTATAGGTCTCTTGGGGGCATCTTGGGTGGGATGTGGCTTCGGTTATCTTCGGTTCATATTGCTGCAAACATTCCGCAGCTGTCGGCGCCAACGCTCATAGTCTTACGGGGCACATCTGACATCGAGCCGCCATCATGTGCATCTGTGCCTCACGTCGCCTGACTGAGGTGCTGTCCCAGTTCATTATTTGCATCGTCATCTCGACCATCTTCTCGCCTCGTGGTCGCAAAGGGTTTCAGGTGAGGTTGCGTGCGCTTAGGGTTTAGGGTCAGACGAGCTTAGTTTGCAAGCCCCTACGCGGATGCAGCCAGCTGCTATGTGTTGTCTGACATGCCTGAGCGTTTTGCAAAGTAAGTGGTATAGCTCCGCCGCATCGCCCGAAGAGGATCGTATTCCCGCTGTCGGTCTGGATGCGCGACTGGGCTTTCATGGAGTCCGGATGGGTTTAGGGTTCAATCGTGGAAGACGTGGAGTCTGGGTTGTTGTAAAACCAGTTGTGATAGTAAGGAAGCCGTGGTACTTCTTAGTAAATACAGTGGTCGGAATAATTACTAAGAGTATCCCCTCATAGTCCCTATATCGTCATACTCCATTATCCCCCAAAACCCCATTCTAGTTTTTCAGGCCCCTATCTTACTCTACTAGCCCTAAACCCTAAACCCTAAACCCTAAACCCTAAACCCTAAACCCTTAACCCTACGCCCCAAGCCCTAAACCTTAAACCCTGAGAGCCAAGACCCCTCAGCAGCTGAAGTCCGAGGTGTCTACCTGGGTATGCCCTGCAGATCTGAGATGCAGATGCTCGAGCACGAGGATGACTACTACCAGGCTCTGAGCCGCAACCAGGGTTTAGGGTTTAGGGTTTAGGGTTAGGGTATTTCCGGCGGGTGTTTTTTTTTTTTTTTTTTTGGGGGGGGGGGGTTAAGGTTTAGGCTTTTGGGGGTGTTGGGGGTGGTTGAGGGGTTTTGGGGTTTGGGGGCTGTAGGGTGTAGGACTCAGGGTTTCTAGTGCAGTCTGGAGGTTTTCTTGGCTCGGCTTGTTCTTGCGCTGCGAGCTGAGGCACAGTACATGTGGTCGAAGGAGATGAAGTACCACAAGGCGGAACCCAGGGAGGGGCTGGGCACCTAAACCCTAAACCCTAAACCCTAAACCCTAAACCCTAAACCCTAAACCCTAAACCCTAAACCCTAAACCCTAAACCCTAAACCCTAGACCCTAGACCCTAGACCCTAGACCCTAGACCCTAGACCCTAGACCCTAGACCCTAGACCCTAGACCCTAGACCCTAGACCCTAGACCCTAGACCCTAGACCCTAGAACCTAGACCCTAGACCCTAGACCCTAGACCCTAGACCCTAGACCCTAGACCCTAGACCCTAGACCCTAGACCCTAAACCCTAAACTCTAAACCCTAAACCCCAAACCCTAAAGCCTAAACCCTAAACCCTGAACCCTAAAGCCCCACCATCAACCCCGACACTCAACCCCCTCCCCCCCTCCGAAACCCAACCCAGACCCAAACCCAGCCCAGTTTTTTTTCTTGGTTTCCTAGCCGGGGTGGGTGCTAAGAAGCTTAAAAGCTCAGCCATAATGTGGAGATGTGGTAACTGGGGGTTTCCCTATGTCGGAAGCTTACTTTCAGCCAAACGTGGTTCAGGGAACCCCGGGCTAGAGGCCCGAAGCTTAAAGAGCTCAAGGGCCCCCTTTGCCTTCGCTGAGCCCTACACCTGGACAGTTTCAGCCCGCAACTCCACTGAGGATCAGTTCATCTACAAGAACCTTCCCGAGGACCTGTGCGTTTAGGCTTCGGGGTGTTTGAAAAGGCAAGGCGTCTCAAGTTCTTGGGTCTGGGGGGCTAATTGTGTTTCAAGCTTAACGGGGTTTATGTAGGGTTTCGTGCTGAGGGTCTAGGGTACAGCCTCATAAGCCCCCAGCCCCACAACCCCAAAGGTTCTGACGCCCACCGCCCGCCTCCAACGCCGCAAAGCCGGAAGGAACCCCCACACCCCCTTAACCCACTCAAACCTTTAAATCTTAAATCTGAATCCTATACCCAAAGCCCTAAACAACACCCAAAAACGCAGAATCCCTAAGAACACTCTGACCAAAACCCTGATCCCCCCCCCCGGTTTCAGGGGCTTAGGGATGTCTTTTTCGGGTTAGGAGCTTAGGGATTTGTCTGACCAAACGCCTAGATCCCAATCCCTTAAACCCTACATCCTAACCAACCCTTTAAGCCCCAACCCCCGAAGCCCGACAGCCTAAGCCCTGAATCCTAATCAACCCCCGCAAGCCTTAGACCCCAAAACCTGAAATCCCAAACTCAAGCCCCAAGCCCTAAACCCTACACCCTACACCCTAAACCCTAAACCCTAAACCCCTAAACCCCTAAACCCCTAAACCCCAAAACCCTGCAGGATAAGAACCCTGAGATGCTAAAGCCGGGCGAGAGCACGGCGATCAGCACCACCGACATGAAGGCAAGTTCCCCAACTTGTTTCCTGAGTGCTTAGGGTTTAGGGCTTAGGATCTGGGGTTTAGGGTTTAGGGTTTAGGGTTTAGGATTTAGGGTTTAGGGCTTAGGATCTAGGGTTTAGGGTTTAGGATTTAGGGTTTAGGATGGTTCTTTTGACTATCCACATGTCTTCGCCATTGCTACGCACTTTGGCAAAGGCCCTCCAAAAAACCTTAAGCCCTAGAGGCTTCCAGACCCTCAACCCCGAAGACTGAGAAGCCCTCAAAAGTCCCTCAAGAAGCCGTACAAACCCTGAAAAACTCTGCGAACCCGTAAAGCTCTTAACAAACCTCAACAATGATTACTAAACACTAAACCCTAAACCCTAAACCCTAAAGCCTAAACCCTAAACCCTAAACCCTAAACCCTAAAACCTAAACTTCACCTCCCAGATTCATTCCCCCTCCCTTGCGGGGTTTTCAAGGAGAGCTACGGCGCCTCGGCCGAGGCGATGGCCGAGGACAGCTTGCAGAAGTTAGGGCTGGGTCCAGGGTTTAGGGTTTAGGGTTTAGGGTTTAGGGTTTAGGGTTTAGGGTTTAGGGCTTAGGGTTTAGGGTTTAGGGTTTAGGTTTAGGGTTTTTCGGGGGGGGGGGGGGGGGGCAACAGTATTTCTGGAGAGCCGCGGCAGCCTCCCTTTTATTCCTTGCGGCGAAATCTCTGAAGCATAACCCTGGCGCCCCAGTTGTGGCCCCTATTCGGGTTCTCTTTAAGGGTCCCCAAGACCTAAACTCTACCCCCGAAGAATGCAGGATGCCACCTACGGCGTCACGGCCAAGGTGGCGCTGAAGGGCGGCCGTGCCCCGGACCTTCAGGTTTAAGGTTTTCGGGTTGAGGGTTTTGACGCTTTCGGGTTTTAGGCCATGAGGTTTAGGGTTTAGGGTTTAGGGTACGTAGGTCATAGGGCTGGGGGCCTGCTGGGGGATGTTCTGACTTGAGAAGGACAGGGCAAAGAGGGGGTTGGAGGAGGGTTCCCGGGGTACAAAACACGGCCCAAATCATCTGTCAGCGGTCCCATCTCTCTGGGTTTAGGGTTAGGGTTTAGGGTTTAGGGTTTAGGGTTTAGGGTCTAGGATTTAGGGTTTAGGGTTTAGGGTTTAGGGTTGGATCACAGAAGGCTGAGGATCCAGGTCTCAAGCTTTGGGGTTTAAAGATGGGTGTTTAGGGTGCAGACCTGACAGCAGAACGCGCGCACGCGCGCACTCTTGCGCAGGGGCTTCCTGCGGCTGGCTTGTGCCAAAGCTTTGAGAGCCTTCTCAGGGTTTTGTAGGTTTAGGGTTAGGGTTTAGGGTTTAGGGTTTAGGGTTTAGGGTTTAGGGTTTAGGGTTTAGGGTTTAGGGTTTAGGGTTTAGGGTTTGGGGTTTGGGGTTTAGGGTTTAGGGTTTAGGGTTTAGGGTTTAGGGTTTAGGGTTTAGGGTTTAGGGTTTAGGGTTTAGGGTTTAGGATTTAGGATTTAGGATTTAAGGTTGAGGGTTTAGGAGAATCAAGAGCTCGAAGCCCGAAAGCCCCTGTAGCCCTAGGCCCTGAAGCGCCCAAAGCCTTGCAGACCCAGGAGTGGTGCCAACTGGGACCGCTGCAGAGGAAGGTGGGAAAGTCTTGGCATTTAGGGTTTGGGGGTTCGGGGTTTAGGGCTTTTAGGGTTTAAGGTTTAGGGTTCGGGGTTTAGGGGTTGGAGGGTTTAGGATCTGCAGCGTAAGGAGAGCAAGCCCTAATCACTTCCCAACCCGAAACTTCATGACTTTAAACCCCAATACCCGAGCCTCTGAACCCCCCGAAGCCCTCCCTTACCCCGCCCCCCTCCCCAAAAGAAAACCACCCGAAATCCTTACCCCTGAAGCCCTGGTGAATCAAGCGAGCCCCTAACACCGAACCCTAAAACACGCTCAAACCCTAAACCCTAAACCCTAAACCCTAAACCCTAAACCCTAAACCCTAAACCCTAAACCCTAAACCCTAAACCCTAAACCCTAAACTCCGGGCAGGTGGACTTGGAGGAGGCCCAGCCGGCCCTGCGCCCACGACGCCCCTGGGCGGCAGGGAGGTTCAGGGGGTAGGGTTTAGGGTTTAGGGTTTAGGGTTTAGGGTTTAGGGTTTAGGGTTTAGGGTTTGGGGTTTGGGGTTTGGGGTTTGGGGTTTGGGGTTCAGGGGTAGCAATGGAGTAGATTCCCAACTAAAAAAGGCCCCCAAGTTGCGCTGCAGGTTGCTCATTCCCTAAGCTTGCACAAGCCCCCTAAACCCTAAGCCCTAAGCCCTAAGCCCTAAACCCTAAACCTAAACCCTAAACCCTAAACCCTAAACCCTAAGCCCTAAACCCTAAACCCTAAACCCTAAACCCTAAACCCTAAACCCTAAACCCTAAACCCCTTGTCAGTCCGGACAGGGGGTCAAACTCAAGAAGGCGCAGAGCTTAGGGAACGGACCCTACTTGAAGGTTTCATGAGTAGTTCTTCTATGTCCTTTTCAGCGAAAGTGCCCTGCTGAAGACCTTGTTTGTACGTACTAAACCCTAGAGACCCTAAATCCCGAACCCTAAACCCTGAACCCTACAAACCCCCTAAACCCTAAGCCCTGACTTGGAAGTACCCAGGAAGCAAAGTCCTGAGATGAGGTACGGGGTGGCCGTGACGCCCACGCCGGCGCCAGGACCAGGCCATGGGTTCTGCGTTAGGGTTTAGGGAGTTAGGGCGTAGGGTTTGGTTTTGTTGCCCAGGATTTGGGGTTTAGTATTTGGGGTTTAGGGTTTAGGGCTAGGATTTGGGGTTTAGGATTTAGGTGCTTCCAGGTTTAGGGTTTAGGTGGTTGGTTTAAGGCCCAGGGTCTGGCGCTTGGGGCTTTAGGGATTCCGCTGAACCCTCAGTGCCGCCCTAAACCCAAGGCAAACCCGAAGCCCTTACTTGTGCACCCTGAAACCCTAAACCCTAAGCCCTAAACTCTACACTTCTTAGTGCCCTAAGCTGGAATTCCTCCAAGGAGCAGCCAAGAATCGACACCACAAGTCTGGTTTCGGGTTTGGTGTGTGTGTGTGTGTGTGTGGGGTTTAGGGTCGAGGGTTTAGGGTTTAGGGTTCAAAGTGTAGGGTTTAGGGTTTAGGGTTTAGGGATCTGTCACGAACCTGGCGCAGCCACTGCAGCATCCCAAAGCCGAAAAAGTGTTACGGGACCTGCACTTGGCAGCCAGACCCTTGGTGGCTGAGTGGTAAAGGGGGTTACAGGCTAATTTTGGGCTTTCGGGTTTAGGGTTTAGGGTTTGGGTAAGTGGTAATCAAGGGGTTTGGGGCTTGTAGGGCTTTCGGGAGGTAGGGGTTTGGGGTCTATTGCTAGCTGAGTCGTATCCTTTTGCCCCTTATATAGGTTATCGTCACGAACACCCAAAAAGTGGTACCTGGATTGTCCTACGGCTACTTGGCTACCACTGGGCCTTGGAGTACTATACTTTAATACTTGTTTTTGGTTCTGGGTTCCTATTATAGCTACTTATACCTTAAAAAGTATATACTGTTTTTCCGGGGTCTACTCCAAAGTAGGGACCACTAACCCTAACCCTCAACCCTCAACCCTAAAGCCTAAACCTTAACACCATCATTGAATCATAAGGTTAGCGACCAAGGACCATGGAG